TAATCCTATTTCTCTTGTTCTTCCTGAAAGTCCTTATTCTTCTGCAAGATTTTCAGAAATATTTGGGGTGGCTTACAGCATACAAAGGCCCTTTCTCTCCACCACCAAACACTATAATATCTAAAAAAAACACGTTTAAACTTAAACCTGCTATTAACAGGCCCTAAATTACAGCTTGTGTCGAGTATACACAAGTAGCCGACAGCGAGCTTACTCAATTATATTAACAGCAAACATAAAATGAATTTATCCTTATTTATATGGAGATTTAATTATGATAATTAGTTAACGAAAGTTAAAAAAACAATATATTTGTATTATTTATTGTAAAAAAACTTCAAAATATTTTAATGGTAAGGTGAAAGCTTGCAAATGACCTAAATTCGGTGCTAAACAGCTAAAAAAAAAACAACATGCCTGAAATTTATTGGATTTTTTTTTCTTGTTAACTTTAAATTCTTATAAAATTACCTTAAATCCACTAAATTATACAATAAAATGAAGGTAAAAATTAGCATAAAAGGGGGAAAAGTCTGAAATTTCCTATACATAAGTTATTACCAAGCGAATCGACTGAATATCCTGTTTATATTTTAGGTGCACTTGCACCGAAAGATGGTGTTATCTTAACAATTAGAAAATATTTAAACCTTGTATTCGAAGGGGGTTTTAGGCATAGATAACACGGGTGTTTATCTAGGGCCACGCGGTGGTCGAATACGTTACTAGTTCGCGTTAGCAACGCTTAAATAGGGGCCAGTTTCCCATAAAAGATCCGCTTACCCCCCTCGGCAGATCACCCGTGTGTCGTGTTGCCTTATACGAATAAATGCTAGGCCCTAGGGCATTTAGAAATCACATATAAACGTACAAGTGTACAGCATGTTTCCTAATACTCCAGTACTAGAATCCTTGGGTTGTATCAAAAATACAGTCGACCCCCCTATAATACTATTGATTATTCCGTTTTATATGAATTCCATGTTGTACGAGTCATTTAGATTTTACAAATATGTGAGCCGTTCACAGCCTGGCATACGTATTTGTAAAATCTAAGTGACTCGTACAACATGGAATTCATATAAAACGGAATAATCAACAGTGTTATGGGGGGTCGACTGTATCGTGTGATAATGACTTTACATAGTATAAATTTAGCGTACATTTTAAGGGGAGTTGCGAAAAGTACAGTACATATCGTACAGGATAATGTTTCTATTGCCTTTTACTTGCAAACACCAATACGGCACTTTTACTAGCGATTGTAAACTATGATTATCTTGAATTTAACTATCAATTTTATGATTAAATAAATTACAAACGAGTGTAGTATCACTTCCTTGATAATAAAATAAATATTCAACGAGGAATGACGATCGTATTATGATTTTAACGAGGTAAACTGGGTTAATTTCAGCACACAATAGAGGATTTAGGCTACTTGTATTCAATTTCTATTGATTATATATATTTTAAATCATTAATTAAAGTTTGATTCCATATTTTCCACCCCCCATCTTCCAGAAACAATTCGTTATTCGCGTTTAATTAATATTTATTGCCGTCCGGAGAAGGATCCGTATAATACAGGAAGGTCAAAGGTCATCCGCGAGCGTCATTCTTCCCCAAATAAAATCCCGTACGAGAGATTAGTGGAGTTGTTTCTGTACAAGGAAGACTTTGGTGAACTCTAGTGTTTTCTTTCCTGTCTAAAGTAGAATCTGTGCAAACGGTAGGAAGAAGAGGGAGACCGTCGACCCTGATCTTGTCCCCAAAATTAAAAAAAAAACCCTCTAATTGGTCGAAACGGGAGGCAGTAGAGGATAGTAGTTGATTAAACTTTATATTTATGACCAGAAATAGAAGGCCATCGAAGAAAAGAGGTTTTTCCACACTCGGGGCGTAGTCTTGTTCTAGTGAAAATGTCGTATGAGAATTAAAATTACGTTGGGGTGTTGTCGTCGGCGAAGGTAAAAATAAACGGTAATTTTGTGACGACAGAAGAGAGAAATATATTTAAAATCACGTGCCCTAGAAATTAAAACAATGCCGGGAGATCTAATCCAGTGTTATATAATAACACGTCCACGCTAACGTTACTTAAGCAGTAACCTGGAATAAAGGGAACGAGATGAAAGGGAATGCATTAGGTCTAGGTTGTTACACCCGTGACCCATTTCCTGCCTAGCATGTAGGCCAGGGTCGTTCCTCCGTTGGCCAACACCACAATGAGGATGCTTTTATTTATAGTTCTTCCGTCTTCCATATTGGCCTTGTCCTTGGCTAATTGTAAAGCGTTGTATTTCTGCTATTCGCTCAGTCGAAGGGCTACTCAATGCTTTTAAATTTAAAACTGACCCAGAAGGTCATTCACTGACCTCCTTACAGGACTCGTCATATCAAGAGGAAAAGTCTTTGTTATTCATTCTACTCTATACACTTGGCAAGAAAGTAAAAATACACCATATTATATTCTACACAATAGAGATCTAATAGTAGAAAAGGAGACTAGGACCACTTTACTTTAGTAATAGGCGAATTAATTGAATGTATGTACCGGTACAGCGTGTGGAAACAGTTACATAGTAACTGTATCATTGCAGCAATCTCTTAAAGTATCAATTATTGAAGGATTGGGTCTAAAAAAACGGAGATTCTTCATTCGTTTCCACGGAAACGATAGGTATAAGCCGGATCCAATCGCGCGCACCAGAATAATTTCAAATTACGTCACAGTAACAAGGGAATATGCCGATAAGATCTTGCAAACTCAGCGCCATCTATCAATCGAACTTTTCCTTCGGAATTAATTTGGCAATATTAGGGTCAGGGCATGAAAGTTTCCTCTATTTAAATGCAGCCTTCGATTCGCTCGGGTGTTAACGACCCGTTGTTTACATTTCGTGGAAGTCTCGACACCGTTACAATCACCTTTCCGATACACAAAATAAAGAAGAACCTTCCCTCTCATAATGTTCTCTATTCCTTTCCTCTTAACAATTATACCAAACTTTCAATTCGGATTTGAATAGGAAATTCTAAATTGTCATACGGATTACACTACAATACGTGCATTGATGTCACCAGAACACTACGACGTTCACGTTTTACAGATGAAAACTTCTGCCGCAACCTCGCTATTATTATTTGTAATACTTCAACACTCGAAATGTCTGAACCTCAGTAGTTGGAGCCATTGAAAATATCGCTTAATAATAATATATATCGATAGAGATACCGATCTATACTTTCTTCTACATTAAAATAAAGTAGAACAAAGGGTGTGATCTAACGGATTTAACAATATTCGTTACCTCGAAGCGTGATTTAATGACTAAGATTTATATTAAGTAAACTTGAGTTGTTAAGAAATATAAAAAGCAAAGAAAATGGGGGTGATTGTACTTTGTCAATGGAAAGTAAGGAGATTGACACGAAAAATCTCCCGTTTAAACAAAGCAACACTTGATTAATTAAACTATAAATTATCGATTTAAAAAAATAATTACAGTCGATTTACAAATTACCCTCGGAGAATAAACACTAAAAACTTGTTTTTGTGTGTGCATATGTTTGTGTTATTTAACCGCGTAACGCCAGGTTGTATAAATTGGGCAAGGATACAAACCAGTAGAAGTCTACAAGTATGAACCTTGATGTTTCTAGTAAAGCAACCGAGGTAAACAAATCAATACTAGACAGCAACAGTACTACTACAATCTCGAAAACGAACACTTATAGCCTGGAAACACTTCACTTTTATCCCGGGACAAGCAAAAGACCGGGAAATGAGAAACACTACTACACACCATAACGCTTCCAGATTCTATCCAGGACCCGTTAGCCGCTTGCCTGCTAGGTAATTAGCCACCCTCGCCCCATTATATGAATCGCCAGTTGATTTATAACTTGAAAACATACCAGTAAACTCCTATCGGTTGGGTTATATTGTTAAACTAGTGATATTACGATTTGGTATGTCCCATCTATAAGGATATGCAGAAAAAAACGTGTACAATGTTAAAAACATTTAGAACTCTACGGTTTTTATCGATTAATCGAACAAACGAATACGAATGGATCCTAGACCATCACTGACGCAATTATCCGATGCCCCTGGAAGTCTGCTTCTTACAGAAACACAGCTTCTCTATCAATGGGGGGATACTAGATAACTGACGCCTAGGGGTACAAAAAAATTTAGTGAAAATTTTAATTTTGCAGTCTAGAAACAGTTACCTATCTCAAATTTACTGTATACTTGTTTAAAAAAATTTTACATAAAGGGCCTTATAACAAAATTGTGCTAGGGCCTCAGGAACATAATCCACTACTGCAGTTTGTCCTTGTATGCTAACATTCTTAACAGGTGTTTCTATAGTATATTCTCTGGAAAGACAGTAATTTCAAGAACAGGTATATCTTGTATGTGTAGTTAAATAGGACAGTCGAGACATTAATGTTTCCAGTTCTTTAATTTTGGATTTTCGTTACATTTTAAAAAATATAGAAATTTAATACTTGAAAGTTTGATCTTACAACTACGAGTAAGTTACTTCATATCTCCAGTCAAACTTCATTGGTGTCCAATTTTCTATCATAGGCTTGATCTTGTATAGTTTATTGTTATTGTGTAGTGGTTTATTCATTTCACATGTTCGGCTAGTCGTTCTACACCTGGGCAATCTGTCTTGGGATGCTTTCAAAGGTCTTGGAAAGAATAAGTGGCCCTATTCAAATGTGGAGAAAACTGGGAAACTCCACGTGGCAGCCCCTCCCAGTGAGACGTGAACCCACAACTGAACTCCCAGTGTTCTGGGAATGGAATCACTTGTTCACTGGTGGGCCGTTTGACGGTTGGTTGCAGTTTTTTGGCGCAAGGGCCGAGCTGCGCCACGCCAAATGGTTAATTTTCCCAACTCAATATGTATATAATATATAAAATAACAAAAAAAACGAGTATATACATATTAACAAACAAACAACAAAACACAAAAAGGTGAAAAATAAATAAATCTCTTTATACAAATTAGTGACCTTTAAAAAGTCCAATACATTATAAAGATTGAGCCACTGGACCAGAATCTCTGTCCCAAAATACTGTCTACGCCTGGTCTTGAAGGCAGAGCAATCAAGCAGTATGTGATGGTGGATTTGATCCAGCATCTGAAGAGTAGATCATCATGCATAATTATTTACACAACACATCCATAATCCAGCTTTGAGTGGACAAGAGGCCTGTAAATCTTGAGCATGGAACATCCATAGTGAATTTTTTGTCACTGTCTTAAGGATTTGGCAACGTGTCGCATCAGAGGGAATGTCTAATGATACCTCTGAAAAGCAGCCCAGATAGATGGTTCGTCTTATTTTCTTTTAGATGACATATGCTTAAATCTGAAATAAAAATAAGTTTTAATAAGAAAACTTTGCTTTACATACCAAAAATAACCAACATTTAAAATAGAGCATAAGAAATTGATTTAGAATCAAAATTACATAGAAGTAAATAAAATAGTATTTAATGTAGCCAAAAAAATGATGTTCTAAGATCAAGCACATGCCGTAGTACACATTAATTTTGTTAAAACCTGAATAATCCTTTTGTTGGTTGGATTTTGGGTTTGTGGCACGAGGGCCTAGGTAGGATTGTTCTAAATTCTTTACATAAATTTATTGCCTTCAGATATATTAATATAGGTTGAATTTATCATCTAGCACAGGGGTGGCCAACAGTTTTTGCCCAAGGGCCAAACCAGAGACTGCCCTAGAAGATTTTGAGGTGGTGTGAGACCTCATTGTGGTGTCACCCCGTAGAGACTGAATTGTATATAGGGATTTCAGATACATTTTTCACATTATCATACATTATGAACATTCTACTCTGTGCTTAAGTTATTTGTAATGGGGTGTTAACTCTAAACTAGAGGATTTGATCCCGGGATCTCGAAAATAGGGATCCCGACTACTTTTCAGTCCCAAAATTTTCGGGATTAAGTTTTCCTAATCCCGAGATTTTCCGGATTGACATCATTTTAAAAAAGTTGCAAAATAGACTGCATGAAGCGAAACGTTCAGTGCCAGTGCTTTTACAGAATTGCTTGCCTATCATTTTAATATAAAATATGAGAAATTTTATTCCAAGCAAGCAGCAAAAATTAACCTAGCGGGCTTGCGATGCTTGCTTGGAATAAAACTTCTTGTATTTTGAACTAAAAGGATAGGCAAGCAGTTTTCACTGGGTTACTTGGTAATATACTTCATTTTTGTATTTTTGAATTTTCGCGGGCGCCAATCGATTTTCTGGCGCAGTCGAGAGCACTACTCAGTGCGTTTTACCTGTCAATGTGTCAGCCATCTTGTTTTGCCAGTGTGGTTAATATAGACCCGACGCCTCTCGCTTAGGGGGGTCGACCTTAGGTGAAAAGGTTACGACCCCCGCCTTGCCCGTGATCTGTCAGGATGATGCGAGAAAGTCTTTTTACGTTTGGGAGTAGTGGTTTGCTGGATGCTGAGAGACTCACACAGAGACCGAATTTACAAAATTAACGTGTTTATTTTTAGAAAGGCATGCTTACAATGATCGAAACAATCGGGATTGTAGCCTTTACTCCTACAATCCCGATCTGTGTCGACCGGACTGTTTTCTTCCAACCTCCCCGTGTCCTCGAAGCTATAACTAGAACGGGCTTATAAGTATTTACTAACGATTCCTCCAACTTCCATCAAACCTAAACGCGTTTTCTCAGCAGCTGCATATATGTGCAACAAATTGAGAAGCAGACTTGGTGATGAGACACAGGATGCGTTGTTATTTCTCAGATCATATTTTCGCAATTCAAATTAGAATGTTCCTATTAGATTAGTTTTCTTTATATTTAAGAAAAATGTGACTGATTAATATTATTTTTAAATACTTTTTGCTAAGAAACTTACTTTACTACCTACTTACTAGGTTGTTATATGAAAGTAGTCTATTTAGTCGATGTTAAGAGAGATTTTTGTTAATTTTCAACGTTTATTTGCATAGTTTGTTACATAAAGGTTTTTTCAATTTATGTGAGTTTAAAGAGATCTCAGTGATGCTTAAAAAAGAATAAATTTAACATGAAGACTGAGTGATTTTAAGTCTGGTTAGTCTGACTCTGAGTCTGATTAGTTAGAGTGATTAAATTAGCTAGGTGTATCCTGTAAAATATGTTGATTTTTGTCTAAATTTTGATTTGTTGATTTCTGTAAGATTTTCTTATTTTTTATTAATCCTCAATACCGAAATAATCCCGGGATCGACTAAGTATAATCCCGAAATCCCGGGATTAGAAATAAGGACCGGGATCGAATTCCCTACTCTAAACACACGGTGAGTTGTTGATCTTTTTTTGTTAGGTGTCAGAATTTTTCGTCAAGCTATTTGGACTACTCTAGCTATTTTTGAAAGATTAATCGCGGGCTGCATAAATTCATTAGATGGGCCGTATGTTGGCCATGCCTGATCTAGCATATTCTGTAGTTTAGTTGTCTCAAAATATTTGAAGTGTTCTCTGGCTGTTTTATACAGAGGGCACATTAGTAATATACATCGGTTTTTAAGCAGGGTGTGGCAAGTTAACAATGGATGTCCAACAGATATGCTTATTATATTAGATAGCTGTTAGTCACGTCCTGTTCTCAGTCGGGCAAGTATTTCTTTTCAGTTTTTTCTGTTGTCTGATTTTATGATGTGTAGTTTATTGTTGAGCTGTTTGTTCCAGTCATGCCATTCATTGTATATGTACTGTTGATATAAATACATGACTTTGGCCGTACACGAGGTGTTTAGCCGGCGGAAAAGGGAAGGAGAACGAGGGAGAGGAGATATAAAAACATAGCTATATCAAGGTACTATAACAGTCTGAACGTTCTAGTTTGGTTCCAATCTTGTTGAATTTGTCTGATGTTTTCTTTCCTTGGAGTCCAGTCTTAAGAAAACCATTTTTTTGTGGTTAATTTATGGTGTAAAATATTTTTAAAAAGTACTTATTGTATATGAGAAATGGAAATAGGTTCAAAGGTTGTCTAATATAAGAGGCAACTAAAATAAAACTTCACATCTATTACAAAGCATAAAAATGTACACAGTATAACAAATCGTTGTTTTCCTCTTTTGCATTCAAAATTTTCTTTGATGAAGTGATACCATCTACCATCTTTTAGGATTCTTTTTCATGAACAAATATGAATTACTCAACTATAAAAGCAGTGGCACAAATTACTGTTCAAGTATTGCCCATTTTCTAGATATGGTAAACATTTGGCACTGTCAACAAATCAATGCTTGGCAAATAGATCACTTGTATGTGTGCTTGCCGAGTGATAAACATTTCAGTGAATACCAGCATGGACACACCTTGTCTTGAAATGTTTTATAGCGTAAAGGATAATGAATTTTCAACATTCCACAAGACAATAATCGATGTGGAACTTTTGATGTTATAAAGCAAACTATTTGTCCCAATTGAAATCTCATTCTGACTACCCAAATCCCCCTTATCCACATTCTCCAGAAGTGTAATACACATTTACCTGTTAAATTAGATAAGACAGGATACAATAAATTGTTTCCTATTAACAAAATTAGATCCTTCTGTTGGTAATTATAATATATAGTTCCAAAGCAAGTACTATAAGCGCTAGCTACAGAAAACAAATGACTTTGACCCCACTCTTACGTAAAATTGTTAATTTCAGACAAGAAAGCAGCTTATTTTATCAATTATTTGTAAACAGACATTGTGTTGTATACATACACACACAAATTAGTTATTAACTGATTTGATAACAATTTTTATATCTTAATTAATTTAGTTTATTTTAATAGCCATCTCCAAACTAAATACTTACAATGTTTTCAACATAACTTCACAATTCAGATCCTTTTCTTGATCTCCACTACACAATTTGACAGGTGCCTGAAGAAAAGAATGTAATTATTATATAGATTAGCCATATGCATAACAAGATTACACAAGGTAATCCCATAGAAAATCAGAAAATAAAGCATCAACAGCAAATTCTGACATATGCTTGTCAAAAATATTCATCATAAAAATTAACATTAATCTATAACTCAGACAGGGAGTTGTCTTGATAGTATTAGTTTCAAACATAAGACCCAAACAAACAGCATTGCAGCATCTTTGAAACAATTGCTCTCAAATCCACAAACTACTCAAAAAATATTGTCGAGTTTCAGTTATTTAAAACTGAATGCAATCTTAGCTAATCAGAAATGAGTGGGTGCACTTCAATAATCTATCAGCAATGTTTAAAACTGTGGTGCCACCCGTTGATATTTTTCAAAATCTTAAGTAATTATAAGACGGCAAAAAGCTTAATTTTCAGTGAAAGGACAAGCTTTATAAAAACTGTAAATGCCAACAAGGAAACTTTTCATTAAATCAGACTCCATTCTGATCTTTAAATCACTGAAATCTATTAGCATCAATGCCTAATATCCAAATCTCAGGCACAGGAAACGAGTGAACTTTTCCATATCCACTTTATTTTCCTACGTACTTTAAACTAATTGTTCCAAGTGCCACTATGCATTTTTGGCTGGTGCTCCCTTCTCTTGTCTGTTGGCTAATAATATTTAACACAGAAGATTCACTAACAATTAGTAGCAATGAGACAAGCTTATACTTGGTGTCAAAGTACATGCAAAGAGAATGAGAAATGCAAAATAATTTAGTTTTTATTAGAATCACCTGACAATTTAACATTAAGAATATGCACACAAAACATAGGGCAAGATTATGCATTTCTGGATAGACAATTTTGGAAAAAAATTTCCACAAGGCTTTTAAATCAGGAAGTCGGCGATTCGTATTGATTTTTTCCTTCCATTATCATGCAGGCCATAAAGTGGCCTGCAGTCCTTGTGTTAGCCATCTCTGCTTTATAAATTGTTATTTTTTTATAAGTGATTCACATGGAGTGATCACTCTTAAATGCAGATAACCCATGCTTTTTATTCTGCTAGTAATATTGGAGGTGATTTAAACCAATTGGTTTTTGTCTATTTAAACCAATAAGTATCTAGTCAGAAGCATAATCTACTGCAAAAATAATACAGGTATACCTCGAGTTGCGTCGTTCGATTATATGTTGTTTGTCAAAAAATATATGGAAAAATAAAAATCACGTTTAAGTCATTTTATTCGACTTTACGTCCATCCGCCACAAATATCAGAGTTGTAATATCACTAGAAAAGCGTTATAGCACATAAAATCATATTAAAATATGTACAGTAAATGTTGGTAATATAATCATAAATCCTAGAGAACAAAACATGAAAACATCTGTGTTTCTGTGTTGTCTTATTTAGCGGTCTTTAAATGTTCAATATTGGTGTTTTCCACAGTAGCTCCAATATCTACCGTTTGACATCGTTGTCAGCGTCGCTCGATATTGGTAAATTTAATATAAATTTGTTTATTTTCTGCTGTCACAAGATAATTTTAATAACTGTATTTGTTATTTAACCTTACAAAATCATCTTATTTTATAACGTCTTAGAGCAAACCACATTCACAAATAAAGAGTCCGCGATGTACTGTAAACATCGCCAAATTGTAAACATGTACATTTACAAGTATGTACTGTACGTATATGAATTTGTAAATTTAGACTACTTTTTTCTATACTATATTAAGAACTAAAGTTTGTTTGTAAGCTTAAAATAGATTCTTATTAACCACATATTATTAAAAATGCATTTATAAATAAAATACGGAACCGGGAACGGTTATTTGTGGTTTAACCTAGTGACAAGTAAATTCGACTTACGTCGTTTTTCGACTAAAGTCGCCTCTCCTGGAGCCAATTACTGACGTAAGGCAAGGTATACCTGTACTCTCCATCGTTTACATATGGGAGAATTGCTGCAACTAATTGGTTGTAAAATCATTTCTTAAAAACCTTTTAAATTGGATAGCTATTTTCAATGTTGACTGATACTAAATGTCAGGAATGTAGAGCAATAAGTCCTACCAAGGTCACCACTCATTAGACAAAACAAAAACACGTTGCTGCAAGGAAAAAACAAAATCTCAAAGTATCTACACACATTTTTACCCTTTTTTTAATTCCTCAGTAAGTACCGACCCATGAGGCATCTAGGCAAAGGTGAACCAGTTCTGACTGTATACTTCCACTATGTTTTGGAATAATGCACTAATCAGGTTCCTTTTAAACTCAAGCAGGGAGTCCCTCTCCTAAATTTTTGTGGATATGTGCATTTAACACACACACCCAAAATATGAGATTTTTCATTTCTTTAAATGCATTCTAGCTAATTTTGAAGTGGATAAAATCTGACCCATCTCAGACTCCCATCCAATGTTTATATTGGCTGCAGATGTGGCTTGCTATTCATGACCACTCATTTGTCAATGCTTGGTTACAGTAACAATCATAAATTGTACTAATGATGAAAATGTCCCTTGCATTTCCATCTCATAAACATAACTATCTTAAAATAATATTTGTAAACAGTAAATCTAAAACTTCAAACAATACAAATAACTTTATCATGTCATATGGCATTATAAATTTTAAAAATGTTGGTTAATGAAGTTTACTTTAATTTTAGTATGGCAAATCATTTTTTCAAATGAAATAAGGGCATAAGAGGCTGGTCTATCGCCATGCACCATTGACAATTCCACTCAGACAATTGAGGAAGTTGAAGTCTTTTACTTAGGAGATGATAATGAAGAAACTGAACTCTGCTATTTTACCACTATGTTCTGTGCCTAAATCAAGACTGCCCAAACCCAGGCCTGCCAACACATTTGAATTTGCCCGCCCACAGTAGAGGTAGGCTGTCACCATGCGCAATGTCGTACTACCAACAATCCCAACCGCCACGTGATTGGTCGAATGCGGAATGAACTATGACTTGAGTCAATGCCACACCGCTGTTAATACCTAACCTATGTATTTACTACACTTGTTCTATTAGTTTTGAGTTGACCATTGTGTATTAAAATTAAATTGTTGTCACCAAATATTGAAAAATTATTAGCTAATAATCTTCTTAGATCTCATTGATGTATTTTTTATTAGGTATTATTAAAACATGTGCAACTTAAAGCTTTGTTTAATCTAAATACCTATCCATTCATAGAAGAATCACGAGTGTAAGCAAGTACGATTCACTAGGTGGCCCTGCCGGCTGACATGAATTGAAATTGTAGCCTGCCTCTGAAATTAATTGGGCAGCCCTGGCCTAAATAATTCAATGCAAACAACATCTGTCCATGTTTAGTATGTAATTTGTCTACAAGGACTATTTTATTACCAGGACTTACTATACTGGTGACTTGATTCTGCAATAAGAAAAAAAAAAAAACATCAGAAAAAGTATTTTTCACACAAACACACGTTACACAATATCATTGCGTTTCAGACCTGTTAGTCCCTCGTCAGCTGGTTTATGACCAGTAATTTCTAAAACAAAAAATAAATTTACTACAAAATTTATTATTTTTTTTAAATTATTATTTAATCAAAAAAGTTATCATACAATTTAGAATTATTACAAGGGGACAAAACAAGTAATAACTATGAAAAATGAAAGAAAAATTGAAGTAATCACGGAATGAATCCAAGAAGGAAGATATAAACAACTAGAAAAGGATCCAATTAAACAGCTAATAAAATTATTGGATAAGGATTTAGAAAATTTAAAAATACACCAATTAATAACAGAAGAAGACATCAAATATATAAAGATAACAGAACACCTAAATTCAATATAAAAGTAAAAATGCATAATAATATAGTTAACTGGGTCTTTATTATTATTATTAAGAAAAATATTTGAAAAATAAATTTATTAGAAATATCTGAAGTATAAAAAACTTAAGATGAATGATTAAAAAATATGAAATTCATATTGCTGGATATAAAAAATATGTACCCAAGCATTACTAACGAAGACATTAAAAATTCGTTATGAAAAATAGATGCACCAGAATGGTTAATTAAATTATGCTGATTAATTATCGAAAACAATTATTTCCAGTTTGATGATAAATTCTACACCCAAACCCACGGGAACTTGCATAGGTCCAAGGCTGGCAGAAATATTCACGATACAGATAGATGAATAAATTAGTAATATACAAGGTATTGAATTTTATGGCAGGTATGTGGATGACTGACTATTATATTTGATCAAAGAAAAACAAATGAGAATTTAAATATTAGAACAAGCTAACCACAAAAGAAAATATCAAATTTGAAGTTGAAACAGAAAGATAATAGTATTAACTATTTACATATAACAATAGAAAAGATAAATTGATATATAAAAAAACATACGTAAAGACTATGCAGATTCCTAAAGTAATTAATTATAAATCTATAGTTCCAATAAGCATGAAATTTAATATATATGGATAAAATCAAAAATAGAACAAGTAAAATAGAAATTCAAAAATGGGAAAAAAGATATAGTTAAAATGTTCGTATTAAACAACTACCCAAAAACATTATTAGAAAAATGGATACAAAAATTAGAAAGTGACGAATAGCCGAAAAAACAATTTGATAAAGGAAAACAGTCTGTAAAATTGATGTATATACCAAATTTATTTGAGAGAATCTAAAACAACATAACAAGAAAAATGCATAATATATTCGTTTGATTGCAGTTGTGAACAAAAGAAAACAGATTGGAGAAACAAAGGAAATTAAAAACACAGATAAAAGAACATATTCACACCATCAAAAGCAATTATGCAAATTCAGCAGTGGCAGAACATTGTAATACAAAAGGATGCGAAACAGATTTGAGCGCTATAAAAATAAATTTTAAAAAGGCAATTATACAAACATATCCACATAGCAAGACAAATAGAATGAACAACAATTTAGGAAGGGAAATACACCAATCATGGAACAGAATCATCAACTGAGGGAATGAGGGGCGAGGTATAAAAGGAGTGATAATCTCGTGATAAGATATTGTCCGAGTACTGATAAAAGAACAATTGTGTAAGTTTTAGACAGCTCTTATGATTGTAACTTATAGCTATTATTAGTGTATATAGGAATAGAGGTATGATTGGATTTGTGTTATTAATGCTTTTGAATGTTGATGTATTCAAAAAACAAAAATCTAAGTTTTATTTTATTTCTTTTATTGTTGGGCATATTTTTATAAATTGTTGGTTGTAAACCTGCTGATGAGGGGCCAACATGTCCAAAACACAATGATATCATGTAACGTGCATTCTGCTGAAAAATAAGACTTTTTCTGATGTTTTCTTAAACTGCAGAATCAAGTCCTAGTAATAAAGTAAGTCCTTGTAGACAAATTACGTACTAAACATAAAGTATATAATTTAATACGTATCTGTCCATATGTTCCCAACCATAAATAAAGCATAATAAAAAAGTACTCACAATTTCAGTCATACCAATCCAATCTGAACACTCAGGTTTATTTGACAACTTGAATTTCAACCATCGAATTCCTAGGAGTAACAGCAGCAAATCAAAATTTTGTTCTCTAAAAGCAAGCTATCTACACAACAATTTCTAATCAGTACAATCAATCTTCAAGAATATTAAGACTGGGGCGATATTATATCATCATTCTATTCTAAGGAATATAATGTTATAAGTAAAATCTTACCCAGTTACTCCAGTGAAATATCAACTTGGAAGAGGTGGATTTGTTTCGCTAATACCGCAACAAAATTTTCAGATTTGTGTCCAAAAGATCAAATGCCATTCATCTCCGCACTTTCTACTCCGTTTAGTCAAATCCACTCCATACATTGCAATTTCAAATGCAGGTAATCTTTTCAGATGCTAGTAAATTTACCTAAAATACAAATCCGAAAGTGTTAGAAATATTTAAAAAATAGATTCTCAAAAAAAAAGGTGTGTACACATCAGTTATAACCAATCTTCAAAAAATTCAGACTGGGGCGGAATATAAATCATCATTGAAGTTACATGCCATATGCAGACTATCCAAAGTAGTGATATCAGGCTTTAAATCTTAAATTATCAAAAATACAATACTTTAATGTCTGTTAACTGCTCTTATTACCCATAAAATGAACTTGTGATAACGTCATGCGAGCGTGATTTTATGTCTGTTACGGGAGTGCATATAACATGGGAGCGATCGGACAGACAAGGACAATCACGTTCAGATGCACAGATTTACTGTAGGATTGCCCATGCTAATCTCGTGACATTACGTGACCATTGCACACTGGGAGTTACACTAGTCATACAAGAAGCATGAAAAATGACAGTAACATTGACAAATTAATGAGGAGCTATAACTGAGAGGAACTTCATTTAAACTTTATATAAAGAGAAATCAGAAAAAGGAAGACCCGTTACAAATCAAGAGTGTACCCAAATATTGCCTACATCATCTTATTTTTAAAAACTTCTGTACACAATAAGAAAACATTGCAATCTACAAGATTCGTATCAACATATGCACATCCAAAATAAAGTAATTACAGTAGAGTGCCATTTATCCGAAAGCCAGTTATCCAAAAGCATTCCAGTCGGCAAATTTAAATTTTTGCTAATGCTGTGGCGCTGCAACGTTTGGCTACTCCAATATTTTTTTTTTTGTTGGTGTGTGTGTTTTAGCTGGTAGCACTGGCACTTTTGTGCGGTGTTTTTCTGAGGACTGTGTGTCGTGCTCAGTCGAACATTTTTGATACTAGATTAACTTCTAAAGTATAATTTTTTGTTTTTATATTTTTCAATATATTTTTGTTTTGTAAAAAATAAAGAAATAATTTGTAACGATACAATATTTTAAAAACTTTATGTTAGGCTTTATATTAGCGAAAATTCAACGTGAAGCGACACGCAATGGAGAAAAATTTCAACATAGGTTAGGTCAGGGGTCGGCAGTTTGTCAAGTGAGAACAGCCAAATTGTCATGAAAACAGGATAACAAAAGTACCAGAGAGCCGCATATTAATTTAAATGTGCGAAATACGACACACGACAGGGGCGCCTCTAGTGGACATTTTTGGCATAACGTTACACGGATGGACAGACACGCGTTCAATGTGTTATACATATAGATATGCTTCAAATGCTACCACTCTTATGCGACACATATTGATCAACACGAGTGTGGTCATGTAAGGATGGCGTAAGACTCTCATAAAGGCATAAGTTATAAGGCTGCGGTGAAATGAGGTGAGGTGAAATTGGAGTTTATGTCCGAAGAGCTGCAAACTTCTATGCAAAGAGCCGCATGCAGCTCGCGAGCCGCTAATTCCGACCCCTGAGATAGGTTAATATATTTTTTCGTACATAACTGGTTATCCGGACAACCTCACTCCCCAATTGATTCGGATAAACGACACTCTACTGTACTAATACAATCCATGAAAAACTGTCTGTCCAACGACTGACACCATAAATCAAAAAATAGCACCTGTGCATTTTCATTCGTCTGACATTAACCTAAAAGCTTACTCAGCAATTTATAAAATTAACTCACCTTTATTCCATACTTCCACTCTTATCTCAAGAAATCCAAATTTACTGCCTGCTTCATATTTATCTACAAAAATAAACATTTATTCAATCTTTTGAAGTATCAAAATTAGACAGTAATTGATATTATAAAATTTTCAGATTGTAATTTTCATCGTTCTGAATCAGAACAGGTCTGTAAATTCTCATCAAAGCAATGTTAATGGAAAAGAATAGTATAACTACCTAACTAATACATAATCACTGTATTTGGCTTTTATTTACTTAAATCCGAGCATTCTTGCAGGGAATCTTCATTTTGCAAAAGGCCAGAGTTAGCCGATATGCATTCGGTGTACAAGCCTGCAGATTGTAGTGTGCCAGCCGCACAGCGCTTGTATGCAGAACGATATCTAGTGCAGCATATTCCCAGCCATAAATTTCTTTGTAAGCCTGCACCAAGGTTAGCTGTTTCTGTGTACACCAACACTTCAGGAAAGCATTTCCAACCCTACATTGCTATATGATTCTGAGTCGTCGGGATGCACCCTACCCCTCTTAGAAGTTCTGAAACGTTTAACTGAGACACCCTGTATATATATATATATATATAGCTTACTTCAGTAAGTAC